AGCTAGAAAATATTTATTTCCAGAAGAAATAAAATAATTTTATTAAATAGGAATTTAATAAGAAAAGAAAGGATTTTGACTGAAATAGCCTTGAGGGCTTTTATGCAAAGTGGTGAAAAATAAACAAATTAAATACAAATGTTTGTAATAGAAATAAGAGATTTAGAAGGTTTTTAGTAGATTAGACATTACAGGGCTCTAGTCGTGCCCAAGAAAAAATTAAAATCAGAAAATTCAGAAACGTAAAAACGTTGAAAAAGCGAAAATAATGAAAAAATCATGAAAAATAAAATATAAGTGATAAAAATGTTCTATGAGGTTGTAACACACATAGGGGTATTTTGGTCATTTTAAGATTTATGACCTTTAGAGGGTAAAATTATTATTTTGCTAGCCATATCAATAGAAAATGATATGTTATGATTAAAATAATTTTGAGGATATTTTTAGAATTTTTAAATATTTTTTTCATTTTAGGTGTTTGTGACAACGGGCTTTCACACCTAGGGGTGAAAGCTAAGCTGAGTCGCTCACGAAGGGATTATTCGAATTCGGCTCGACATAGATGAGCCGATCACGAGTCGAGTCGGCTTGACTATAGTGTTAAGCCGAGTGCGATCAGCGGGCTACTCGATTCGTGAAGCTCGCAAGCTTGAGCCAGCTCGCGAGTTTATTTGCAATTTTTAAATCTATAGGGGGCCACAAAATTATATTATGTTTTAGTTTTAAAAAGTTATAAATCCACCCCCATATCAAATAAACTAAAATCAAAATCGACACACACCCGTAAATCCCTAATTCCTAAATCAAATTACAAACCCTAACCCCATAAATCTCTCCCCAATTGCCTCTATTCATTGGAGAATCGCCGTTTTCCAATCACTGTTTTCCCTCTCCGCCGACGCATCGTGCTTCAGCTTCTTCTCCTCACTCTCGTCTCACTGTCTCAGTCATTCTCAGACGCTTAACCTCTCAAATATCAGGTAAGCTTTACTTAACAGCCTCTCAAACTCACTCTCACTTTCAGTCTCAATCTCAAGCTCTTAGTGTCAGTCTCGACCTCTCAATGTGAATCTCATCAGTGTGGTAATTCATAGGAGAAGTTGGAGATTGATTAGGTTAAGTGGTTCTAGGGTAGAGGAGCTAGGTAGCTTGGTTCTTCTTTGAGTTGAATATGGAGTATTATGGACTTTCAAGTTTCAAGTAGTATTTCAGATGGGTGTAGCCGTGTAGGGGTGAGAGATTGGTTCTATTTTGTTGTGTCTGTACCAGGTTCTTGTCGTTGCCTGTCATGGTGACTTGGTGAAGAAGATTAGTAAATAAATGAGTTTTCTTACTTAGGGTTGTTGAAAGTTTGATGGCATTATCCCTCAATTTCATGTAATTGGTGTTCATTGTTATTTTTTTGTCGAATTCGAGTTCATACTTGATTTTGCATCCGGTTGCAATCGAGGTTGCTCGAATTCGAGCTAACTCGAGCTCGATCGAATTTGAGCTTCCAATAGTATCACGAGTTCGAGTTTGATTCAGGTTTTTCAAGCTCAATATGGCTCAAGATTGAACTTGAGCTCATTATTACAGTAATCGAGTTTGGCTCCATTATGCAAGAACTCGGCTCGGCTCGGCTTGGCTCGATTACACCCCTATTCACAACTATTAAATTGAATTATCCAATTAGGTGCCCCCAAGTGGGCCATAATTTAAAAAAGATATGTCAGCCTAATATGCATCTTTGGATGCTCTAATACCGTCACACCATAACCAACAAAAATTGCCTAATTGAAGTAGCCTAGGTCCACCGACCTTTTGAAAAAGAAAAAGATATTTACCTTAGTGTATTACCTAGTTAGTAAATACGCGTATTTACGTATTTGACAAAGGGCTACCGAATTATTCACGAGTTATTGGAGTATCCGTATAATTCGCGAATTATTGAAAAAAAAAAAAACTAATTGAAACGACGTCGTTTTAGTGGGGGAAGAAGAAATCAGTGGGTAAGGCGTAAGGGAAGAGATTGGAAAAGGGGGGGAATAAAATAACCCTCTCAAAAAGTTCAAAACTCAAAATGACATCCATTTTCCCGCCCATTCCCCCACACCTTTACATTTTAAACTCAAAACACATACAAAATCATTTCATTTTCTTAAATTATTTTCATGCTATCTAATAAATTAGATTGGATTAATGATATTAAAATAATAATTTATTGTGAAAAAAAAAACTGTCATATATTATAGGTATAAAAATAATAGTTAGACTATTGTAACACTAATCTTTTATATAGATTTGTAAGACAAAATTTTAGTTCTTGATTTAATATAATTTAATGGATTAATGGGAAGTTAAAATTGGTTGCATTTAATATCAAACTTATCAAGTTTTAAATTAGTAAAAAATCATGGTTAAATATTGTGTTTGAGTCTGGAGACTATAATTTGAATATCAGTTATATATTGTATATTTGTGTTATTGGTCAATTGAATACTTTGCATTTGAAATACTATATTGATTTTGGCCAAGTAATCCATAAAAGTAATAAAACTAAGATTGATATTACCATATTTTTCAAAACGTATTATTGACAATGCACTATATTAAACCCGTATATACCTGTATCGTGTTTTTCCCATATCCGAATTTTATGACCGAATTTTTATAAACGTATTTTTTACCGTTTGTCGTATTATATCCGTAAACTTCCCGTACCATTTTTTTGTCGTACCCGTATTTACTAACTATGGTGTATTATTATAGGTCATTGCTCGTGGAATATGTCAAATCCTTAAAAAATGATTGTTTTGTGTTTGAATAAGTTGAGTCTTGTGGGGTAGCAAGCTTGTGAGATGATATGTCCAAGCCTTGGATTAAAGTGAACTTGAAATAAGACATGCCAGCATATGATGAGCTTTGTTGAAGAGTGTGTCATGGGCTTATTTTAGACAATATCATGGGCTGACTTTAGAGTTTGTCATGGGCTTACATTTTTTTAAATGTTATGAGCTTTATTGAGGTCTCAATAAGCAGTCATTTGGACCTAACCTTTCAGCTTGATTCGTAGCTTTAAACTGTAATTGGGCATTAATAGTAGCATTGGACCTCCGTGACAAAAGTAACAATCAACAACTTAATTAATTGTTTTAAAAATATATTGTTTTCAAACAAACATATCGAAAGTGTTTTTATTTTTTACATTTTTAAATATTATTTTTAGACAAACATGTCAAATACATTTACAATTTTTTGCAACTTCCAATCATTTTTAATATTTTCAAAAAAAAAAAAAAAACACAAAATTCATAAAAAACATATTTTATTTTTTTGGTCCATCTAATTAGCAAAATTTGACATTTTAGTTGGCCTAAATCCAACTTACTGAATTATGTTTTTTCTACTCTAACCCCCTCGTTTGTTAAACATTAATTTGACCTCCTCGAAATAATTTCCTTGTTCTACCCCTGTTAGCCACTAGGGTTGTCAGCCGAGCTAAGCTTGAGCTCGAGCAGCTTATCGATCAAGTCGAGTCAAGTTCGAGCTCCTCGATACACAGCTCAACTAGCTCGCAAGCTTTAGCGAGCTTGAGGGTATATATGCTAGTTTTGTAACTACTAGAGGGTATGTAATTTACCAATTTGAAAAATAAAATGACAAACATACCCCTTATTCCCAAATATCTAAAAATCGAATTCCAATTTAGAACATAAAAAACCCTAACACCACAACTCTGCTGACTTGCCCAACCACAACTCCACTGCTTGAACTCAAGAGTCCAATACCTTCAAACTCTTTGTCCTCTGCGTTCGGAATACGAGACCAAACAAGGTTCATTGTTTCCAGTCCATTCTTCAAAAACATAATCGATTCACCATAAACTGAAATCTCCTCCAAATCAAACCCTAGCCCGACGGCCCTTGCCTTCAATTCTCCGAGCAGCATAAAAAAAAAATTTGACCCTGATCCCGAAGCTTTCCTTCCCATTTTGATTGAGTTGAAGCTTATAAGTGTGAGGGGCTCTTCGATCGACAGAAATCTTCATATAAAGCAAATGATTTGTCCCTCCTTCCAAAGGAAAGATTTTCTCCGTGAATCAGTAGTCGATTCAAGTAAGGCCTTAGCCGCAAAAGCCGTAAATACGAGGTTCTGACGATGAGAGGTATTGATGACCACGAACTTGGGGAAGTGAAAAGTGGAAGAGCGAGGTCGAACCTAAAAGGATAAGAAAGAAGGCTCTTCATCCACTTTTTTTTTTTTGGTTCGTCGTTGTATTTCACTGTTTTGTTCGAGCTTGAGCTCGAGCTCGTCTTTTCTGTACTGAGCTCGAGCTCAATACCTCAAGCTAGGCCAAGCTCAAACAACGCAATACTCGGCTTGGCTCGACTCGGCTCGTTTACACCCCTATTAGCCACTAAATATAACATATTATTTCTCCTCTCATGACCTTTTGTTCATTTTATTTTGATTATTTCTTAAGAATTTTATGAAATTCTAAAGATCTTTAAATAAACTTAAGAGCAACTTATTTACATTTTTCAAAAAGATTTATGCCTATAACCATAGTTGAAATGTCAAAATACCCATGGGTTTGATGCTCTTCAATGATCCACCATTAGGTATGAATTTGATAATTAAATACGTGGTCTAAGTATGACTTAAGGACTTTACAAGATAAAAAAAATACATAAAAATTAAAATTCGGTGCAAATTTTGGTTGGTCTCTGTTTTCATGTTAAAATATAGGCTAAATATTATCTTCATATCAGATAGAGTGAGAAAAATTTGGTTGGTCTCTGTTTCAGATCAGAAATGGAATCAATTAGAACTCATTTCTTTCATCCTTACTAATTTTTGAATTGTAACAAATTAACCAAAAGCCAGCTTCCATATTGATATCTAACGGCACCAAAACCAAAATTATTCTAGAGTGAGAAAAGTACTAATAACATTCTGGTCTAAATCATCATCTGATACCATAAACCACCATAAACCATACAAATAGTCTAAGCTAATCCGTTAAACAACTCAAACCCTCAAACAATGTCAGTAGATACTAGAGATACTGCATAACATGGGAAATTACAATTCAAAGGAAATACAAAGACACCTAACACTGACACGGAGAAAGCAACAAATCCTACCAATTCACTTCAAAATCAGTCCATCGGCTGGTCAACCTCACTATAAGCAGGTTCAATGATAGCTTGCTCAGCTTCCTGCACTTCCTTCTCCGTCTTCCTTCCTTTCTTCGACTTGTAGTATACACTCATGAATGTTCCCACAGCCTTATACTTCCTCCTGCAGTACTCGTAGAGCTCAGCATCAAACATCCTCCAGAAATTTTTTTCATTCAGCTCGGACACTGCATACTGTGGCTGAAACCCATGATTTTCAATCAACCATTGCTCCATTTTGTGAACTGCCTCTGCACCATCGAATACCTCACCCCTCAACACAGGGCCTGGCGCATAGTAAACCCCAACATCAGTATACATCTGAGCATAATGTGTGTCTCCCTGTCTACGATGGTGCTCAAACCCTGGCTCAGGATACACCATGGTTTTGAAAGGAAGCTTGTATAGCCTGTGTGGGCAGAGCCAAAGGGGGTATACCTAAAAGTTTAAGATAGAAATCTCATGTCAATAAGCTTTGAGTCCTCAACAATTCAACAAAACAAATTACAGGCCCACACAAAATAGCCAAAAGAGTGTTCATACACAAATCTATAATAACATATTTAAAAGAATGGAAAAATTGATCTCCATGCTAAACACCTTTTAAATGCCTATAAAATAGATGTAAGCTTTCAGATCCACTAACCAGCACTATTTTGCCCAAAAAACAGCCAAATCTAGTCTTCGTTTTGGTATTAAAAAACTCTAACCTCGATTCTTGATTAGCCCCCAAAATTCTCATTTCCTTATAACTGACTGTGAAATCACGTCTTGCTTTGGATGTGGTTCTAGAACTACTTAAGGTCGTTCTAGTTCTTCTCATTCTGCATTAAGTAATCTAATCTATTTAATTAACAGTCATTTGTTTTTCTTTTAATGCTGGGACTACACAGTAATAAAAGGTTTTCATCTTCAATTCACGTTTAAACCAAAATAACTTCAGTTGAAAATTTATGTGAACAAAGTAACCACCAAAAAGAAGTTTAAAGGAGAAAAAAGAATAGTAGAGTGACAGTAGATCAAAAAAAGTTACCTCCATCTCACGGTGGACCCACTCAAGGGCATCCCCGACCTTGTAAAGAGGAACAAGCATGTCCTGGATGACATGCATCTCATGGTAATAGTTTCTGATGGCTTCACCTTGAGTGGCCTTGAGCAAAGAAACCTTGGGTGGCATCAACCAGCCAAATAGATACCTGAACCAAAATTGATCAGCAAATGGAAGGATGAGCTTCCCCTCCCAGTACAAACACCTTGTGTGCCTGTGGTAATAGTCCCTGGTAGGTATGTACTCTGTGAACTCTCCCCTCTTCAGTGATGTCTGTGCATGCTGGTAGAACCAGGGCTTAAACCACCAACCAACGCTGTTAATCACATTCCCCCTCTGTTTGGCCTCTTCTTTTGAGGCATATCTTCCAGTCATCATTACACCTTCAGTAGGAGAGTAAATCATGCCTTCTACAAAGTCCGGAACCTTCTCTGGATTATCCTGATCCCCATCTCTGGGCGCAAAAGAGTCTGAATAAGCCTGTGCAAGATCTTTTAGATTACCCACTATAGGCTTGTAAGTCAATTTCATGTACTCCTTAATGGGTATGAGCCTTATCTCAGCAGAGACAAGAAGCCCCAGAGTTCCCTGAGACCATGGAATTGCATAGAAAAGATCTTTATACTCATTATCTTTGGTAGCTCTGACAACCTGACCATCTGACAGAACAATTTCATATGCAACAACAGTATCAGAGAATAGGCCATAGAGGTGGGAACTTCCTTCAATTCCATAGCCATTGATGAGGCCACCAACAGTAAGATCGTCAAGCTCTGCAACCACGGCAAGGGCAAGATTCATTGGGACGGTAGCCCTGGTGATCTGCCCCATGTTGACAAGAGGCTCAACTTTTGCAATCATTTGGTTTTTGTCAATGTCAAGGATGTGACGAAACTCTGATAAATCAACTTCAAAATGACGAGCCCGCTTATAATCCACATTCCTCATTCCAACTGCTATCCAGGGTTTACGAGCAGTGCAGACAAGACCATCCTTTGATGCATTCCTCTCTTTCAGGCGTTTTACAACTTTCTTAACATTTTCTTCATGTTCCTTCTGACGCCTCTTGAAGGACTTCATTTCGGATTTGACATCTCCAAGATATGTGAGGAAATAGATAGTGAAGGAGATAGGGAGGACAACAAAAATAACAATAATCCATCTGAACTGAACAAAGTAGTCAACCCACACCCTTTTCCTCTTTGGGCGCAGGGGTGCTTCAAGATCTGACATTGTAAGAACTGAAGACACTTCAACAAAGATAGCAAAGATTGTAATTAGAAAACATTTAAAATCCGTATCAGTGTTTCATAATGCAGGTAAACTTAAGGGTAAAAATAGCTTTTTTGTAGAAAATAAATAAATGAACAAAACAATTGTATTCTGCACCCAACTAGCAAAGTTTTCAAGAATAATTAAAAGTAATTCTTGCAATTTAAGGAGAAAAAGATTGCAGAAACTAAAGATCCTTGCATCAAATTTTTAACAAAAATATAATAGCTAGGGTTAACAAATTTACAGAAAACAAAACATGGTACAAGAATGCATTCAGAACAGAAATAACTGAAATGTTGGACAAGTGATCTAGAAATTTTAACAAAATGTACTAATTTAAAAACTAAAAATAAACTTCCAACATGCATAAATACGGCTAGTCCCAACAAAGGGGCTCCTATGTAATCCCACATAATGATGAAAGAATTTAAAACAATTACATGGGATAATACAAAATGCATATTTTATACGAACTAAAACTATAAGCCTCCCATTCCACATCATTTTAATTCAAAAATACTGAAATGAGCTTTGACATGTATCATATGTAAAATGGTCTCTTCCTGTTACTTCCATACACCTTCCAGTGACCAGCTTGAAAACCAAGCACCAAAATCAATTATGAAGAATTTAAATATAAATAAGGAAAATTAAATATAAAACAATCATTTAAAAGGCAACAAAAGGGTAAAAGAAAAATCAACAACTTTTTATTGGGGAAGTTGCATCATGAATGAATCAAGTATATGGGTGTACATTGTTCCCCATCTCTTATTCACCAGAAACAAGATATTTATATCCAAACCATAAATATTAAGTCTTAAACAATCAGATTCATCTTAGAAATGTAATAAGATACATATCACTAGAATTATTTGTTTTAACAAAAAATAAATAAAGGTACATGAATTGAAAAAACTCTAATACTTGCTAAAGTTACAAGTTAAACTTTCTGATTCATATATAAATACTTATAGTTTTCAAACAGTACATTAAATTAAACATAGTAGCAGTTTGAGATTAAGTCAACATCCCAAAGTAACTTCACATGCAATAATTCAAAAAGAAAATCAAGACAATGTTGAAAATGTATATGACAAAAGATAGCTTCACAGTGTATAACCATAATTTAAGGATACTTTGCAGATGTAGACAAAATATAATAACAGTGTTGTTTGTAATTTAGTCAAAACCAAGTTCACCAGCATTGAAGAACCATGATTTTGCATGAACAACACATCAAAATATTATAGATTTTAAGTACTATGTATTATCACTGTTTAATCTTTATGAGCAAGAACCAAGATCTCCCCATTGTTACTTCTCATTACACTTTCCATGATAACATAATAAAAAAATGCAGAAACAAGCTATTCACACTTCTTGAGGTTACACCAAATTTCTGCATACATTATCAATATTCAAGCAAGAAAGTGCGAAACAAACGCTAGTTGGCCCAATTTTCACCATGTTCAAAACTAAATGCACAAATAGGAAAAAAAGATAAAGATAGATCAAGAATTCAAGATCCCTAGCCAGATTTAAATTTTAAAAATAAGAAACCATTACTTTAGATCTAGAAAATGTAGATTCCTGCTTGTTTGGTTTTCAAGAAAATGGACCAAAAGCAGAAGAAAATACTAAAAATAAAGTACTAGTTTTCACTTCAGTTCACTTCATTTCCCTTCACAGCAACCAAACAGAGAACAAATATTACTATACAGATCACACAAAACAAAAAAATAAAAAGCGATAACACTAATAATACACAAAATTCCACTTCACATTGCTTGGAAGACTTTCTCAGTAACCAAACAGAGGATTCAGGAAAAAAAAAATATTTATGTATATATATATATATATATCGGAAAATTTTACCAAAAAAGCATACAATCATTTCTCGGCAACCAAACAGTAGGAAAATCTATGGACGAAAGAGTAATTAAAGACAGTACCTAAAGAGCACGGACAGCACAAGAACCAGTAAAGATCAGAACCTGAGGGTAACTGACCTTAAGCGTTTTGGGTGCTGAAGCTCTGCTAGTTAAATATATACACACACTGGTAAGTGTAGAATAATCGATCTTTAATTTGATTTTTTCTTTTTTATTAATGATATTTTAAGAGAGAGTCCAGGTACCCTACCCGGCTGCTCGTCTACTGGCCAGTCAAATTCATAACAATATATCGAAATAATTTCCTTGTTCTACCCTGTTAGCCACTAGGGTGTCAGTTGGCCGAGGTTGAGCTGAGCGTCATCGATTGAGTCAAGTCGAGTTCGAGCTCCTGATACCACTCAACTGCTCGCAAGCTTTAGCGAGCTTGAGGGTATATATGCTATTTGTAACTACTAGAGGGTATGTATACCAATTAAAATAAAATGACAAACATACCCCTTCCCAAATCTAAAAATGAATTCCAATTTAGAACATAAAAAACCTAACACCACAACTCTGTGACTGCCCAACCACAACTCCACCGCTTGAACTCAAGAGCCAATACCTTCAAACTCTGTCCTCTCGTTTGGAATACGAGACCAAAAAAAGGTTCATGTTTCCAATCCATCTTCATTCAAAAACATAATCGATTCACATAAACTAAATCTCCTCCAAATAAACCTAGCCCGACGGCCTGGCTTCAATTCTCGAGCAGCATAAAAAAAAAAAAAAATTGACCCTGATCCCAAGCTTTCCTTCCCATTTTGATGGTTGAAGCTTATAAGTGAGGGGCTTCGATCGACAAAATCTTCATATAAAGCAAATGATTGTCCCTCTTCAAAGGAAAGATTTTCTCCGTGAATCAGTAGTCATTCAAGTAAGGCTTAGCCGCAAAAGCCGTAAATACGAGGTTCTGACGATGAGAGGTATTGAGACCACGAACTTGGGAAGTGAAAAGTGGAAGAGCGAGGTCGAACCTAAAAGGATAAGAAAGAAGGCTCTCATCCACTTTTTTTTTTTGGTTCGTCGTTGTATTTCACTTTTTCGAGCTTGAGCTCGAGCTCTACTGAGCTCAGTCATACTCAAGCTGGCCAAGTCAAACAAGCAATACTCGGCTTGGCTCGACTCGGCTGTTTACACCCTATTAGCCCTAATATAACATATTATTTCTCCTTCATGACCTTTTCATTTATTTTGATTATTCTTAAGAATTTTATGATTCTAAAGATCTTTAAATAAACTTAAGAGCACTTATTACATTTTTCAAAAAGATTTATGCCTATAACATAGTTGAAATGTCAAAATACCCATGGGTTTGATGCTCTTCAAGACCACATTAGGTATGAATTTGATAATTAAATACGTGGTCAGTATGACTTAAGGACTTTACAAGATAAAAAAAATACATAAAAATTAAAATTCGGTGCAAATTTGGTTGGTCTCTGTTTCATGTTAAATATAGGCTAATATTATCTTCATATCAGATAGAGTGAGAAAAATTTGGTTGGTCTCTGTTTCAGATCAAAATGGAATCAATTAGAACTCATTTCTTCATCCTTACTAATTTTTGAATTGTAACAAATTAACCAAAAGCCAGCTTCCATATTGATATCTAACGGCACCAAAACCAAAATTATCTAGAGTGAGAAAAGTACTAATAACATTCTGGTCTAAATCATCATCTGATACCATAAACCATACAAATAGTCTAAGCTAATCCGTTAAACAACTCAACACCTCAAACAATGTCAGTAGATACTAGAGATACTGCAACATGGGAAATTACAATTCAAAGGAAATACAAAGACACCAACACTGACAGGAGAAAGCAACAAATCCTACCAATTCACTTCAAAATCAGTCCATCGGCTGGTCAACCTCACTATAAGCAGGTTCAATGATAGCTTGCTCAGCTTCCTGCACTTCCTTCTCCGTCTTCCTTCCTTTCTTCGACTTGTAGTATACACTCATGAATGTTCCCAAGCCTTATACTTCCTCCTGCAGTACTCGTAGAGCTCAGCATCAAACATCCTCCAGAAATTTTTTTCATTCAGCTCGGACACTGCATACTGTGGCTGAAACCCATGATTTTCATCAACCATTGCTCCATTTGTTGAACTGCTCTGCACCATCGAATACTCACCTCAACACAGGGCCTGGCGCATAGTAAACCCCAACATCAGTATACATCTGAGCATAATGTGTGTTCCCTGTCTACGATGGTGCTCAAACCCTGGCTCAGGATACACCATGGTTTTGAAAGGAAGCTTGTATAGCCTGTGTGGGCAGAGCCAAAGGGGGTATACCTAAAGTTTAAGATAGAATCTCATTCAATAAGCTTTGGTCCTCAACAATTCAACAAAACAAATACAGGCCCACACAAAATAGCCAAAAGAGTGTCTACACACAAATCTATAATAACATATTTAAAAGAATGGAAAAATTTTCCCATGTAAACACCTTTTAAATGCCTATAAAATAGATGTAGCTTTCAGATCCACTAACCAGCATATTTTGCCAAAAAACAGCCAAATCTAGTCTTGTTTTGGTATTAAAAACTCTAACTCGTCTTTGATTAGCCCCCAAAATTCTCATTTCCTTATAACTGACTGTGAAATCACGTCTGCTTTGGATGTGGTTCTAGAACTACAAGGTCGTTCTAGTTCTTCTCATTCTGCATTAAGTAATCTAATCTATTAATTAACAGTATTTGTTTTTCTTTTAATGCTGGGACTACACAGTAATAAGGTTTTCATCTTCAATTCACGTTTAAACCAAAATAACTTCAGTTGAAAATTTATGTGAACAAAGGTACCACCAAAAAAGTTTAAAGGAGAAAAAAGAATAGAGAGTGACAGTAGATCAAAAAAGTTACCTCCATCTCACGGTGGACCCACTCAAGGGCATCCCCGACCTTGTAAAGAGGAACAAGCATGTCCTGGATGACATGCATCTCATGGTAATAGTTTCTGATGGCTTCACCTTGAGTGGCCTTGAGCAAAGAAACCTTGGGTGGCATCAACGCCCAAATGTACCTGAACCAAAATTGATCAGCAAATGGAAGGATGAGCTTCCCCTCCCAGTACAAAAACCTTGTGTGCCTGTGGTAATAGTCCCTGGTAGGTTGTACTCTGTGAACTCTCCCCTCTTCAGTGAGTCTGTGCATGCTGGTAGAACCAGGGCTTAAACCACCAACCAACGCTGTTAATCACATTCCCCCTCTGTTTGGCCTCTTCTTTTGAGGCATATCTTCCAGTCATCATCAACCTTCAGTAGGAGAGTAAATCAGCCTTCTACAAAGTCCGGAACCTTCTCTGGATTATCCTGATCCCCATCTCTGGGCGCAAAAGAGTCTGATAAAGCCTGTGCAAGATCTTTAGATTACCCATATAGGCTTGTAGTCAATTTCATGTACTCCTTAATGGGTATGAGCCTTATCTCAGCAGAGACAAGAAGCCCCAGAGTTCCTGAGACCATGGAATTGCATAGAAAAGATCTTTATACTCTTATCTTTGGTACTCTGACAACCTGACCATCTGACAGAACAATTTCATATGCAACACAGTATCAGAGAATAGGCCATAGAGGGGGGAACTTCCTTCAATTCCATAGCCATTGATGAGGCCACCAACAGTAAGATCGTCAAGCTCTGCAACCACGCAAGGGCAAGATTCATTGGGACGGTGCCCTGGTGATCTGCCCCATGTTGACAAGAGGCTCAACTTTTGCAATCATTTGGTTTTTGTCAATGTCAAGAGTGTGACGAAACTCTGAAAATCAACTTCAAAATGACGAGCCCGCTTATAATCCACATTCCTCATTCCAACTGCTATCCAGGTTACAAATATTTATTTCCAGAAGAAATAAAATAATTTTATTAAATAGGAATTTAATAAGAAAAGAAAGGATTTTGACTGAAATAGCCTTGAGGGCTTTTATGCAAAGTGGTGAAAAATAAACAAATTAAATACAAATGTTTGTAATAGAAATAAGAGATTTAGAAGGTTTTTAGTAGATTAGACATTACAGGGCTCTAGTCGTGCCCAAGAAAAAATTAAAATCAGAAAATTCAGAAATGTAAAAACGTTGAAAAAGCGAAAATAATGAAAAAATCATGAAAAATAAAATATAAGTGATAAAAATGTTCTATGAGGTTGTAACACACATAGGGGTATTTTGGTCATTTTAAGATTTATGACCTTTAGAGGGTAAAATTATTATTTTGCTAGCCATATCAATAGAAAATGATATGTTATGATTAAAATAATTTTGAGGATATTTTTGGAATTTTTTAAATATTTTTTCTCATTTTAGGTGTTTGTGACAACGGGCTAGGGTGAAAGCCAAGCTGAGTCGCTGGCGAAGGGATTATTCAAATTCAGCTCGACATAGATGAGCCGATCACGAGTCAAGCCGGGCTCGACTACAGTGTCAAGCCAAGTTAGATCAGCAGGCTACTCAATTCGTGAAGCTCGCGAGCTTGAGCTAGCTTGCGGGTTTATTTGCAATTTTTAAATGTATAGGGGGCCACAAAATCATGTTATGTTTTAGTTTTAAAAAGTTCCAAATCAAATAAACTAAAATAAAAATCGACACACACCCATAAATCCCTAATTCCTAAATCAAATTACAAACCCTAACCCCATAAATCTCTGCCCGATTGCTTCTATTCATTGGAGAATCGCCGTTTTCCAATCACTGTTTTCCCTCTCCACTGACGCATCATGCTTCAGTTTCTTCTCCTCACTTTCATCTCACTGTCTCAATCACTCTCAGCCGCTTAGCCTCTCAAATATCAGGTAAGCTTTACTTAGCGGCCTCTCATACTCACTCTCACTTTCAGTCTCAATCTCAAGCTCTTAGTGTCAGTCTCGACCTTTCAATGTGAATCTCATCAGTGTGATAGTTCATAGGAGAAGTTGGAGATTGATTCAGTTAAGTGGTTCTAGGGTAGAGGAGCTAGGTAGCTTGGTTCTTCTTTGAGTTGAATATGAAGTATTATGGACTTTCAAGTTTCAAGTAGTATTTTAGATGGCTGTAGCCGTGTAAGGATGAGAGATTGCTTCTATTCTGTTGTGTCTGTACCAAGTTCATGTCGTTGCCTGTCATAGTGACTTGGTGAAGAAAATTAGTAAATAAATGAGTTTTCTTACTTAGGG